CTATTTTCCTCTCATTTGCAGATTTTGTGCTAATTTTCCGCAAAATATAAAAAAACGTTTTCAAAATGTTTGAATGGCTTTGTACTATCTGTAAAATAAGTCGAAAAAATTGATATTTGAGAAAAAAGCATGATGCAAAATCACGCTTAAAGCGCGAAAACTGTTTCCATAGAAAAACTCGTCAACATAAACAATCGTTTTCAAAAAATCTTGCTGACCTTGAATTTTTTTCTGCAAAAATAGAGGATACGGACTACCAAGAATTACGAATAAGCAAATTACAATACATTATCTTGGAAATGCGAAAATATAGATGCACCTTATCAAGCAGCATAAAATTTTAAAGACAATGAGATGCTTCAATTGAAATATACAATTTCCGAAATATACCAACGATTTCTGAAACCCTGTATACCTCGAATATATTTAAAAGTTAAAACTGTATCTCAAATATACTTAAAAGTGCAGAGACTCGTAGTCCAAAGTATCAGAAATTCTGATACTTTTGAAATCCTCTGCATTGTATGTCAAATATACTTAAAACTGCAGAAACTCGTAGTCCAAAGTATCAGAAATTCTGATACTTTTGAAATCCTCTTTATATCAAATATACTTAAAATTGCAGACTGGTAGTCCAAAGTATCAGAAATTCTGATACTTTTCAAATGCCTGAAATGTGAAATATACTTAAAACTGCAGAAACTGGTATTACAAAGTATCAGAAATTCTAATACTTTTGAAATCCTCTGTATCTCAAAAATACTTAAAACTGCAGACTGGTAGCCCAAAGTATCAGAAATTTTGATACTTTTGAAATCCTCTGTACTGTATGTCAAATATACTTAAAATTGCAGACCGGTATAGTCCAAAGTATCAGAAATTCTGATACTTTTCAAGTCCCTTATGTGTGAAATATACTTAAAACTGCAGAAACTCGTAGTCCAAAGTATCAGAAATTCTGATACTTTTGAAATCGTCTCTATCTCAAATATACTTAAGATTGCAGGCTGGTAGTCCAAAGTATCAGAAATTCTGATACTTTTGAAATCCTCTGCATTGTATGTCAAATATACTTAAAACTGCAGAAACTCGTAGTCCAAAGTATCAGAAATTCTGATACTTTTGAAATCCTCTGCATTGTATGTCAAATATACTTAAAACTGCAGAAACTCGTAGTCCAAAGTATCAGAAATTCTGATACTTTTGAAATCCTCTCTATATCAAATATACTTAGAATTGCAGACTGGTAGTCCAAAGTATCAGAAATTCTGATGCTTTTCAAATCCCTATCATTATGTGAAATATACTTAAAACTGCAGAGGCTGATAGTCCAAAGTATCAGAAATTATGATACTTTTGTAACCTTTCTGTCTCAAATATACTTAATTTAAAACGGTATAGACTGACAGGCAACTGAAAGTATCAGTGAAAACAAATTGTTTCGAGATCTTTGCACATATAATGACAACGTGAATGAGTCTCAGAAACCTGGTGTGTACCGCATTCCTTGTGAATGTGGTCCAGTTTATATTGGTGAACCTGGGCGAAATCTCTCAATACCGGTCTTAATTAAGAAACATAGGATGAATTGCGAGATAGCCGAGCAAAATAAATCGGCTGTCAGTGGCTAAACATACTTGGACTTACAACTATCGTATAAAATGGGACAAAGCAACCATTTTGGCGATTGACATAGTCATAAGTTCTCTCGCAAAATGTGAGAATCCATTGAAATCGAGAAGCACAATACAATAGATAAGAGGCAGGAGGGGAACTCCAGGGAAACTCCACTTTCTAAAACAAGTACTTTTAAAGCCTCATATTTTAATCGTATTGTTAGGATGTAAAACTCTATATGTAAAGTTGCACCGAGTAGTAGTTTTAGTAATCTCGCCTCATTTAGAAGGTTTCTAATCAAACTTTTAATGTACTTTTACGTACTGTTTTTGATGCGAACTTGATTTGTATTGTGCTTGTTCATGTTGTGACTTGAGGTACTTTTACATCCTTCCATTGGTAGGGCCCAGTATTTTGTAAAATGAATCATCAAATCATCCAGCTTGCGCGTTTTACAGTAGCCAGTCTGGCCGACTCTTCTATATGGCTGAGAATTGAAGAAGAGCCTGCCTGAAAGCCCTAGTAAAATTGGTCACTCTCGGCAGCCAGCTACCGTGAATTGTGATTGGCTGAATTTACGTTGATAACATGTTGATTGACGTATTAGCTAAATTATCCAAAAATTTAAAAATAAATGCGGTAAAAACAAACGGCATCGCACACGATTAATACATTGTACAAGTGTAAACCTGCATGTCGGCTAAAATATAAAAATTCAAAAGACAAAGTGTAAAATGTATAACATATACAGGTATCTAAAGTCTAAACAGAATAAGGCATGCCATATACTGCATACCTATGTCGTATGATTTTACCGTATGGTCACTATAGAGTATAGAACCTTGGCTGTCCTTGCCTTGTTTAGATTTTGCACGAAGGCAAATTATGATTATACAAAAGAATACATTTCCCAATGTTTTTGTACATGAAATGCATAACATAAAAAATACGAAGCTCTCT